CACATTCTAACATAAGCGTAACTGTATGCCTTAATTTTTAACTGATAAGTGTTGCACAATTATTCCAATAGCATGAGACACTGGGAGACCTATGTCCGTACTGTCCTCCTCAGGTTAGGATCCACTGACCTAAAGACGGGGAAGGCAGACATCTTCCCAGCCCTCAGCACCCTCAGGTTAATTCAGAGAAGTTCAGGTTCCTGGGCAGACTCTCTCCTGTTCCACTCCCAGACCTCAGGGACAGTGCCCACTGCCTCTCACCTCATGAAGCCCAGGAACACCAGCAGGACCAGGCTGACGAGCCACCCGGCAGTGGCGAAGGCCTTGGGCATGGTGAGTGCACCTGTGCCCACGATGAGGTTAAACATGTACACCAGCCCGACCTGAAACCGACACAGGTGAATTAAGGTCAAGCCTGGAACTTAATGAACTTAATGTCCCCTTAACAGCTCCCAGAGATGACCCTGGTGGTAGCACAACTTTGGAAGCCAGAAGGCCAGACTTTCGACAGGGAAGCAAGAAGGCAGGGAGAATTACACCTCGGTCCTAAGGAGCCAGGCTCTGCAACCAGGTGTTAACCAAATGTTAACATTAAAACTCCTCATTCTGTCCAGTCTTTTCAGAATGCCTCTGATAATTAGTTTTAGTCTCCATTCCTGCTGTCACCATTGCCATTCCCTCATAAAGCTACGTCACAGGTGCTGGCGCTCTGCGCAACTAGACTATAGGCTTCCTGAGGGCAGAACATCACAGGTGGAGCACAAGGATGAACACGGAACAACAACCTCAAAGAAATATCCATTTTTCCAAGACTGCTGAGCATGTGACTCCAGCCTCCTCGCCACCAGTCCTTGCCATTGTCCTTTGGGACATCAATATTCATGCTTCCCTTACCCTCTCCCCACACCAACTTCAGTGTTTTTTTTTTAAGACATTGAGTTATAATTCACATACCATAAAGTTCACCCTTTCAGAAATTACACATATCAGGGGGTTTTAGTAATATTCATAAGGCTGTGCAACCAGCACCACCAAACAATGCCATTTTATCATCCCCAAGTTAGCAGCCACTTCCCCTCCCCCTTCCCCCTGGCAACCAACTTCTGGGTGACGTGTAGGGTCACTGATATCAGGTTTTAAATCTTACCCACACACCAACCACCTTATCTAGCTTGGTTAATTATAATGATTCCTTTTCAAGATTCAACCGTGAAATTGAGCCCCTGCCCTTCCAAGATGCTCTCCATCCCCCTCTGCCCGCCCACTCCCACTATCTGGGTACTGCCACCTAGCTCCATGAAGCATGGATCACCCCAGCTTCCCTCATCGCCTTTCCCTGTTCCAACCTGAGCCCTGGCCTTGGACAAGGCCCAGCACCTGCTTCCTCTGCACTCTGAGACCTGCTGCTAAGGGTTCCCAAAGGTTTTCTTTTAATTATCATGACGGGTTCCACAACAAGTGAGTGGCTCCTTCACCGGGGCCCCAGCAGCATCAGATTTTCTTTATTTCTCTACACAGATTTCCTAGCATTTCTCACAGTAACTGCTCCAAACCTCATTCTTCAAGCCCCCAGACCCCATGGTGGGGACCATTCTCAGATGAAGCCTCCCTTTCCTACTGTGTAGAGGTGGCCAAAGCCATATGATATGTGTTCCCAAAGCCTCACTCCTTCCTAGCTCAAAAAATCAGTGTCTGCCTCCTCCCCTCCCTCCACCCTGCCTGTCTGAGGAACCTCCTGGCTGAGGGTAAGGCCTGCCCCTGCCATCCCTGCCTTCTGGATTTCTCTCTTCCCACTATCTTTGCCTTTCTGCCGACAAGTTTCCTTGACACTTGTAAAACATTACCCTCTCACTTTCGCTTTGCCAAACTCACTGAAGAAACAATCTATCTCCTCTGGCTTCATTTCCAAGTTCCTGGAATAGGTGGTACTCTTTAGAGACTGCACTCTTAAAAAGCACCAGGTTTTAAATCTCACCCACACAGGGGTGGCTCAGTGAGTAGGGCACTAGTCTCATATACTGAGGGTGGCTGGTTTGAACCT